TGGACCCGTCCTCCCCCCAGGATAAAGTGCACGTGAAGCCGTGGTGGCGTGCGGGGCGGCCGTGCCGTGGGGCAGCCATGGCTCAGGGCACCCCGTCCGGCCGTGGCCACCCTGTGGGCTCCCACCCGTCACTGCAGGTAGCGATAGGCCTTGAAGCAGTGGTTGCCCGAGTCGGCCACGACGACGTGTCCGTCGGAGGTGAGCGCCAGCCCCTGCGGCCCGTACAGGGGGTCGGCCGCCGTGTTGATGTAGGACAGGAACGAGCCTGCGCTGTCGAATACCTGCGGGGACAGCATCAGGATCGCCCCACTGCACAGCACAGCTGACCCCCTACCTTTCCCAGTTGCTCCCGGTTGACCCCAGATCCTCAGAGACTCTTCCTAATTGACCCAAGACCCTTCCCTAGCCCATCTCAGGCGCTCCTAGTTGACCCATTATCCTCAAACTCTTCCCAGTTGACCCTAGACCCCCCCCCAGATTCTTTCCAGTTGACCCAAGACCTTTTCCAGTTGCTCAGAGTTGACCCCAGACCCTTCCCCAGTCCATCCCAGTTGGCCCAAAACTCTCCTCAGTTTCACCCAGTTGCTCTTGGTTGACCCAAGATCCTTCCCAGTTGCTTCCTGTTAACTGCAGTTGCTCCCAGATGCCTGTAGATCCACAATAGACTCTTCCCAGTTGACCCCAGACCCTTTCCAGCTCCTCCTCAATTCTTCTCCTCCCAGTCCATCCCAGTGCCATTAAAAACCCCTCCTAATGCCCTTTAAGGGTTCCCAGTCCCTCCCAGTGCAGATGCAGGTACAGGTGTGAGTGCAAGCGCAGGTGCAGATGTGTGTGCAGGTACAGGTGTGTACAGGTGCAGATGTGTGTGCAGGTACAGGTGTGTACAGGTGCAGGTGTGTGTACAGGGGTACATTCAGGTACAGACATGTACAGGTGCAGGTGTGTACAGGTACAGGACAGGTGTGTGCAGGTGTGTTACCTGGATGCGCCTGTTGCCCCAGTCAGCCACGATGATGTTGCCGTTGCCGTCCACAGCCACCCCCGTGGGTGCGTTGAACTGCCCATTGCCCTCCCCGTGTGACCCGAACTTGAACAGGAACTCTCCCTCTGCATTGTACACCTAGGGGGGCACAGGGAGGGCCAGAGGGGGTCACAGTGCCCCCCACAGCCCCCACAGTGCTGGGGGGACCCCAACACCTGCCCACGGCCACACTCACCTTCACTGAGTGGTTGTGGAAGTCAGTCACCACGATCTCGTTCTTGTTGTTGACAGCCACGAAATGAGGTCCTGTGAGAGGCACAGAGGGATCAGCCCTGGGATTGAGGGGCTCAGCCCTGGGGGGGTCACGGAGGGCTCAGCCCTAGGGGGGACATGGGGGACTCAGCCCTGGGATTGAGGGGCTCAGGCCCAGGATTGGGGGGCTCAACCCTGGGTGGTACCATGGGGGCTCAGAGCTCAGAACCTGAACCTGGAGCCAGAACCAGAACCTGACCCCCTATCCAGCCCCAGAACTCAAAACACAGCTCGGAACAAACCCGAGCCCAGAACCCAAACCCACAGCCCAGAACTGGACCCAGAGCCACAGCCTGGGCCCAGCCCCATCGCCAGCCCACCCCAGGGACACCACGCTCAGGGTCCTGCCCACCCAGACCCAGTGTTTGGGGTCCCGGGAGTCCCTGCAAACTGGCGCTCAGCAGTGCCACGGGAGCCGAAACGAGCCACCAGCTTCCCGTTGGGTTGGAAGATGAAGACACAACAGGCCTTGTTGTCCACCACGATGATGTGCCCATTGCGGTCCACGGCCACACCCTTGGGGCCCATCAGCCTCCCTGCGCCCAGCTTTGTCTGGGGGGCAGGCGGTCAGGGTGGGGGTCACCCCGTCCCACAGCCCACACAGCCCCAGACAGCCCCTTCCCCTCACCTTGAACTTGCCCTCGGG